TTGGTTTTTTCCCCCATACCCACACATACCCCTTTACAAGGAGCAAAATCTCCTCTTGTGATTTAGCATAAAATATTGCAGAGCAGGTTTAAGTGAATGTGCTTTTAAATTTAAACTGCAGCTAATTTAACAGGTCAGATATAGCAGAAGTAACAAGGTCCGTTTCCACTAGGTATCATATATCAGGTCTGTTCTTTCTTCTTCATTGGTTGGCATTTCTCGTCCACAGGAATGAAGTGCATGTTAAGAGAAAATAGCCTTTTTAGCAAATTGACTTTTACTTCTATTGTTTCTGTAATTTAAGTGCGTTTTTAATATTTATATACATTCAATGCATTCAGTCTGCAGCGATCTAAAACGGATTGTGTGTTGATAATGATTTCACAGGTCAAGCGTTGAATAATGCCCTCGGATGCAGACAGTAATGGGAGCCCCGTAGATGCAACCAAAGGCAGACCATGACCCTAGACCTCATGCAAGACCTCCTTCTCTCTGGGTTAGAAATACAGTTGCACCCACTGAAAAATCAACATGTGTTGATTGCTGTCACAGTTTTCTCCTGTTCTGTGTACAAAGAAATGCTGAAGTATCTTATACCATTGTATGGTAACTGTTAGTAAATGCGGATTTGTTAAGGGGGAGGTTATTTAAAGTCAAATATAAATGAGGCTGAGCAGACCTCCCCCTACCATCTGGTTGCAATATTGTGCATATCAAACGCTTTTATACATCAGGTTGTTCTTTAAATCAAATAATTATCTTTTACAGACTAATCACCATGGGGAGGTACCAGATAACCTGCTGGGTAGTCATCCTTTTTGTTGTGATGTGGAGCGACGTTTCCCTTTCCAAAAAAGGAAAGAGTAAAGGTGGAGGCGGTGGGAACACAGGAGGCAACCGCTATCCCAGCAACCCTGGCTACCCCCAAAATCCTAGCTATCCCAGAAACCCTAGCTACCCCCATAATCCCGGCTACCCCTCCAATCCCGGCTATCCCAGAAACCCTAGCTACCCCCATAATCCCGGCTACCCTCCTAATCCCGCCTACCCCCCCAATCCCGGCTACCCTCCTAATCCTGCCTACCCCCCCAATCCCGGCTACCCCCCCAATCCCGGCTACCCCAGGAACCCTAGCTACCCCCACAATCCCGGCTACCCCAGCAACCCTGGTGGTGGCGGAACAAGCTTCAAAAACCAGAAGCCCTGGAAGCCTGATAAATCCAAAACCAACATGAAAGCTGTGGCAGGAGCGGCAGCGGCAGGTGCCGTGGTGGGCGGCCTAGGCGGCTACGCCCTGGGAAGTGCAATGTCAGGAATGCACATGAATTTCGACCATCCTGACGAGCGGCTGTGGTGGAATGAAAACTCCAATCGCTATCCCAACAGAGTGTACTACAAGCAATACGACGACCACTCCGTGCCAGAGGGAAGGTTTGTGCGGGATTGTGTGAATATCACAGTGACCCAATACAACATTGATCCCACTGAAAATCAAAATGTGACCCAGGTAGAAGTTAAAGTCATGACGCACGTGATACAGGAGATGTGCACACAGCAATATCAGCAGTACCAGCTGGCCTCTGGTGTCCATCTGCTCCTCTCTGACCCATCGCTCATGCTGATCATCATGCTTGTCATTTTTTTTGTAATGCATTAAGAAAGCAGTCTCAGCCTGAACCGTGCTGCTGATCGGTGCAAACGTTCAGCGGGAGTAATAGATATAAAAAAGCCTTTCCGTGGAGGCCTCTCATTCTTGCTTGTGTGTGTCTGAGGTGAAGTATCTTAAGATCTGTAATAGGTATCAATACTGTACCATAGAGAGACAGGCTGACAGTGTATAGCTGTCTCTTCAAAGCTATCTCTGATTATACACCTACTGTTCAGAATTAAGATTCGGGACAGACTTCAAATGGAAATGAAAGTCAATCTGTTAGCTCCACATTTGTTCTGGTGCAATAGACCTTAGAAGCCAATACAAATCAGTTGATACTGACATACCGTGACCTTGTGATCACACAAGGAAGTGGCCTTCACCAAAATGCCCTCTTCCTCAAATTCATTCTTTAAACTCTGGTACGGATAGGAGCCATCTGATCACATTCATCTTCCCTCCTCTAAACTAGACCACTTTTGAGAGCTGTTTTTCCGTTTCAGTACACCACTGGACTTCTTCCTCTCCAGCTCGCCTAATTCAAGACTTCAGACCGTTGTCTGGCTTCACAAGCCCTCTTTGGTCATCTAGGGGCTGAGGAAGATGCAAAGGCAGAATACTTATGAAAATCCTCTTTACAGATAATTGATGTCTTAGCTCATGGCACTAAATAGTACCAAATGGCACCAATCCCCGACTTGGGGACACCACAGTTTTGGGGACATCCACAGTCCAAGTTCAAATTACAAGTTAATTTTGTGACCTGGAGTACAAACCGAGTATTTCAGACAGTTTTTCCTGCCTCTCCGTGGCTTGTGATGTGAGACCCTTCCATTGCTAGGCTGTATTTTGTACCATTAGATCACCTTCTTGTACTTAAGAGTATCCTCTCTAAGTACGTGTGTACATAGCGGCATTCCATCCACATAACAATTTGCCCATTGCAAACGTTCCAGCAGCAACTAAAGAATAGGCCAGCTTTGGAGGCCAAGAGTGAGCCTAAGATGGCAGCCTGCCATATGCCAAGGTTTCAAGGAGCAGGCCTAGATTTGTTAAGTTTGGGTAGAGAGTGTCCTTTTAGTTGTACAGTAATTGGCTTTGACTTGGACGGTTTAAGGAGGCTGGTGACGGTGTAAAATAGCTGCAACAATAGCCCTTGTTTCATAGTTGTCATCCCAAGAAAAAGCAAATTCTGCTGATGCAGTAAAGCATGCATGGATTTCATTCATGGTTCTATTGTGCGTAAAGTTTCTCCCTTCACCGAGCTGCATTCACACAAACCGTTGACTTCTTTGGAAGTTGTGCAGGACATATTTCTGAGGGCAGGATTTGGCTTTAAAGGCCTCATCTAAAGCCTATTGAAGTCAATGGAAAGGCTCCCCTGGATCAGGCACTAAATCAGTAAAACTTGCATTACACTTACTTCAGCAAGTTAGAGCAAGCAACATCAACCAACATTATCCCGACACAGACAGTCAAAATGCTGGAAGCCATCCTTTGGAAGCAACTAATTCTGGCTGACCCACTGCTTAATACCCTAAATATTATGGTAATTGATGGGGTCAGTCACAGCTAATCTGCATTTTGATTGTCTTGATGACGCAAAAGTGTTGTATATAGTGTGTAGTATATGTAAAGTTTATGCTTATTGCAATTATCATGCCAAATATTTAATATATAGTCTGTATATTTCAGCAAGGCACTGAATGACTAAAACAAACAACCACCCTTAATTATTTCTGCTTCAATGTAAGTTGAATGGATATATTATGAAACTGTTCAAAATTCAATCCATAAAGACAGGACTTTGAAGTCACATGTAGTTTGTGATGTGAGAACATTCTGTATATTTGTAATGGTGCATGTACTTAACTCTGACGTTCAAATCCTTTTATAAGTGTTTGATGTCTGGTAAAAATTAAACAGACACAGGAAAGGCTCAAGCGTGTCTCTTTCGTGCAGGTATCTTTCTTTATCTATGAATGTTTCGTCTACTCTAATTGGAACCTGAACTCCTGTTCTCAGAGACCACTACTTCTGCCTCAACATTTTCTTGCTTTTGTTGATCCAGGCACTGACATGGCGCTCATCACCATAATATCCGAGCACCTCACGTTCATTAAATGAATCTTACCCTTAAACACCCCCTGCTGAGTTAGGGAAGTATTGTGCCCATTTTACAGATGGGGAAACTGACATATAGAGTGTATTAAGCAACTTGCCCAAGATCACACAGGAAGTCTGTGGCTGAGGCAGGAATTGAACCCAGGGTCTCCTTGGTCCCAGTCCAGTATCATATCCACAAGACGGTCCTTCCTTGCTTGCCTGTGCTTTAATTGCATTTTAACGAGATATATGGTATAATTTTCTAAGCATTTAAGTCCCATTTTCCTAAGTGACTGAGGCACTCTTGAAAATTGGATTTAGTCTCCTTGGTGGCATAGCTGGGTTTGAAAGTTTTATACATAGCAGCTAAGCGATTCTGTGTTCTGATCAAATGTCAGTGTAGATGGAGAAGTTATTTACCTCGCTCAAAACACAGGTAAATAAATAGAGGTAAGGAAACTATCAACCTTTTTTGCACTGGGACACAGGAGAGTCTTTTAGCTAATCATACAAACAGATATTTTTTTTAAGCCTATCAATGATCCTGTATTGCTTTGCACCCCGTATAAACACTAAAAACTAGTCTGGGAAATCGGGTTTCCATTTCCATGAATTCAAAAATTCATCCTGAATTGGACTGAAAAGTTGAAATTTTCCACAGAACAGAAATTCCAAAAACCATTCCGTTCAAACACCCATTATTGTTTCAATAATGCCAAAACAATATAATAGGTCAGAATGAAACAAAATAGCTTAAGCAAAATGTTTGGACATTATCAAACCCGAGAAAGTTAAGATGAATCCCACAGTTCTCCCCTAAAAAAAAAAAAAAAATCCTCAAAATGGACGTAAAAAGTTTCAATTTCAACAAAATTGCATTTTCTGGTCCACTGAACACTTTGACCAGCTCTAGTAGGTCACATAATTGGGCAAAATGAGTAAAATGCTGCTGTTCTGGTTTGGTGTTGTGTTGCACCCACTTTGAACATGTGCTAAACAGCAGAGAATCAGGGTAAGAGCAACACATGCCATCCCTTGGCGAGTTGGGGGCCAGACTCTCGGCCGGTCAGCTCATCCAGCTGGTCTCGGCTAATCAGCATTGCTCCGTTGACTTCAGTAGAGCAAAGGACCTGAGCCGAGAGGGATAAATAAGCACCTAATGTTTAACATCAGATCCTAGAGTTAATTATTTATTATCCACTTAGTTTTGCATGCTTCAGAAAATGATGGGCCTTAAAAGCATTTTGTTCATTTCCTCTTTGCAGGGAATGTTTGCTTCCTCTGTGTGCGAATATAAGGACTTGTGTCAGGAGCCCAATTCATGGCCTCAGATTGAAGCTCTATTTGTGCAGAAAACTGGTGTCTCCTAAGCAATGGCAGCGCAAGCTTCCCTCACCTTTCTTTTCCTTATGAACTTCAGTCTTTCCTTGAAGGGAAGTTCAGTCACCATGACCCATTCAGTCCTTCGCATCTCTATTGAGATGGCTTCAAATTCGTGGCAATTTCTCCGATGCGGGTAATTATTCATTCGAAATATTGACGCTGACCAACTCCCTTATCATAAGTGACCAAACAGCCATCACAATCCCTCCCTGCTCACCTGGGGAGCATGTGAACTGGTATCACAAGAGTTAGGATATCCTATTTCCTTCCCCTTCCTAATCCCTGATATTGTGTGCTTTAAATTAATTTTAGACTGTGTCTTGAATCAATTTGTTTGGGGGAGAAGGTGCACAGGGAAACAGAATCAACTGTAATCTTCCCTCCACACACACACAAAAGGAAAGCTGTATATTGTGTCGGTGAAATATAAAGAACAAGGATATATAATGGCCTTATGTACAATCACTGCAAACCTGATGCAGGACCCTATTTTCAAACCCTGACTTAATACCTCCCATTTATATTTTTCTGCAGAGGTGGCATCCAAACCAGCACCCCAAATCCAAAAACCAACACACTCTGTGGAAGTCCAGATCCAAATTTTACACCTGGCCCATACTACTACAATGGGCTGAACCAAAACTCCAGGTCTAGAATGCCAGGACCCTGAAGGTTAGGAAAGTCCGTGTAGGGATCTGAACTGTGTGTCTCGGGTCTAAGTCTAATCTTCTCAAGCACTGGGCTTTTCCTAACAGTATTAGTGTAAGTATGACACACTTCAAATATTTTATGCAGTAATCTATTATGGATGTAGCGATCGGTCTTTGGTCCCTCTAATATTAAATCATGTATGTGTTATATTGCAATTTATATAGAGGGCGGACTGAACTTTTATGACTTGCATAGCTGTCTGTTTTACTTATAAGAATCAGATGACGAACGTATGGCTTTCCAATGAACAGGGTTCAAATGAAGTGCACTGTTTTCCCCCCGCCCCCGACTTAATAGGGTGAAAATATTAGCAGCTGCTCAGCTGTGATATTATCGATCCATTACTTCAGTGGTAAGACTGCCAGCCACGAAATATTGATGCACAGTACTTCACAGCGGAGTAACTGGTTCTTTCCCCTTAAAGCTGCAAACCCGCAATGGATCAAGTCTGTGCATCTCTAATACCAGTGGACTCTGGCTCTCTCGCCCGATACATGCAATTCTTCATTAAATTCATTTAAAAAAAACAAACAAACAAAAACAGCTTTGGATTTGTTCCCTCCTTGATCTCCCCACCTCTCCCCCCCCCCCTTTTTTTTATTTTTTGGCAGTTGCTTTTCGCCACTGTGGGAGCACGTGAAGCATGAAAGAAACACAAAGGTGGACATGTTCCCAGTAGCAAAAAGCTTACAGTCCTGTAGCTCTGTTCTTCCCAGTACTCTGGAAAGGGAGGATGCTTTGAAGCAGACCCAATGTTTAAATTTATTCGCAAAACAGTAATTGACAACGATTGGTACCTCTTGAGACACTAGACCCGTTTTAAGATGCGGCTGCTTTATGGATGCCTGGCCTCTTGGGCCTAACAGGTTGGAATTGCACAGCTCATTATTCTGAGCCACCGAGGACGTGTTTACACAGCATTTTTGAGGTAGGGTGACCAGCCGTCCCGATATCAGGGGCTTTGGCTTCCATACGCAACTCTACCCCCTGCCCTGAAAAAAATAGATGTCTGGTCACCCTGTTTGGAGCAAGGCTCCCAGCCTGGGGATAGCAGGGCAGCATCAGCGCCCTAAAAGCAGCTGTGCATGCAGCTCCGTGAAGCTGCCGCTCCGGCTCTGAAGCCCGTCTCCTCCTCAGACTTCAAATCTCCGACCATACAGCTGTTTGTAGAGCGGTAGAGTGCGCCCCACTAACCCAACTCCCTTGACCCAGCCTCATTCCAAACTGTTGCATAAACGTACCCTCCCCCGCACCAGCCTCTATCTGATGAGGCACGAACAGAAATAGTCATGTTTTATTCTCTCTCTCTCTCTCTCTGCGGCTAGGATAAGATGCTTCCTCCTTCCAGCTGCCGTGTTGACCTTCGTTTTCAGTTGCCTTGCCACACCTTTTCCTGCGGATCCCCTCAGTTCCTCTCGCAGCCACTAACCCTGGCCCATCACGGCCTCTCCAGGGCCAGATTCTAGATTGCAAATCCCTTCTTCCCATTGGGGCAGGGCTTAATTTGTAATGAAGGAGGTGCTGGGGCTCAAGCAATTTTTTTTCATTCATAACTGATGCGGCAAGCCCAGAGGTGCCGGGACTATGAACTACACCTGTACCCTTAGGTTCTCAAAGGGGACAAAAGTCCAACCCCGCCTGTTACGCAAGATGGTTTATAAAAGGCAGCAGACGTTGAAGACAAGTAGGGGGTACCAACCAGTGACAAGAACCGAAGCCAGGGGACTTCCAGGCTCCTGCTACCGTCACAGATGGATAGGACGATAAGCTGGAAGACTCTAGAAATGGGAGGAAGTGCTTGTAGTGGAAAGTACTGAAATGTGTTTTCATTGGATAATATTAATGGGATGAGGCTGCCACCCCTTCACGGGCATTGTTTATCTGGCTGTCACTCTGAGCGACTGGGGGACATGTAGAATGGAGAAAGCAAGGTTTACCATCATGGTTTCCTCTCCCCACTGTTTCCCGAGACCCCAACATCCAGTGTGAGCCCCTTGGGCCTTTGCTGTCCTACTCCTGAAAAGCATCCTGACCAGACTGGGAAAAAGAGGTTTCTGAAACTGGGGCCATCTAAATGAACTTACGCTCTCAGCGCCCATAAGGGCCGTGAACACCCTCTTTAATGCCACCTAAAAGACTGTCAAAGGGTGTCCCCTATTAAACACAAAAGATCTCAATACAGGAAACATAAGGGAAAGGGCAGTTTGTTTTATACAGCGAATGCCTTATTTACTAATTTGTATTTCAAATGCTTTAACTGCTTTTCTGTGTCTTTAACAGAAAGTGGTTGTTACACAGGGAGTCTCCAGCAATCACTTGACAGAAAACCCTACATTACTCCTGCCTGTTAAATGTTGTAACAACGAGCAAAAGTTTTATTAACATCTTAAGCCGTCTCAGGTCTGACGCCCCCCTGTATCAACACACCAATTCACAATCTGACCCTAAAGGATTTAGTGGGGATTAAAACAACCTAAAGAATCTTAAATCTGAGCCATTTTTATGAATAAAACTGACGGCCAATCTGGTCGGGCAAGAAGCAGTGCACGCTGGTCTGGTTATTCATCTGGATAAAACTAAGTCAGAGTTTAAGACTAGAGGGATCACACCAAGGTCAACAAGTCTGGCTTCCTGTACATCACAGGCCAGCGGATAAAGAGGGGTGCAGTTTGGATGACTTACGTGATTTTGTTCCCATGAGACTTCAGCCAGAAATGGTGACTATTTCCCCAGATCGGCTCATCTCGCAAAAGATTAAGAAGGGACTCACGCATGATCCAGACATTTGTCTCCTTGGACCAGAAGCTTGCAAGAACAACCCTTCATTGTTGGGATCCAGAGATCTGAAATCAAATACTCCCTTCCCGAAATTTGGAGGGGTTCAGATTAAGTATTTGTGAAAGAGAAATATTACAGTGCTCCATCATCCATTTCAGCATAGCATTTGAGGCTACGTCTACACTATGAAATAGGGGTATGAGTTCCCTGCTCGTGTACATCACGGCTAGCTGTCACTGAGCAAGCACGAGTATCCATAGCAGGGTAGCCTGGGTAGTAGCTGCTGAGCCATGAAACCCACTGGTTTCAGGCAGATGAGTCACTTACAGTGTAGACAGAGCCAGAGTTAGGATTTCATTTTTGTAGCTGAAAGGTAGGACACACTTTGCCATGAAGCTACTTGCATTCAGCGTGACTACATTTGGCATATATAATTTTATAAGACAAGAAAAATGTACAGACTGCATGGGAACCCAGCTGCGGCCCCCCCTCACAGGACAGAAGCATTCCGATTAACTGCATCCCGTCTCTGTGGATGCGGTTCCCCTTTTTGGCAATGTGGGGGAGAAGGGCAAAGGGCCGTCCATACACATCCTCCCTTGCCACCAGCCAGGATTACAGGGGATCTGCTGACAGTACCACCAGCCTGTCCATAAACCACCAAAACTGGTAAGTGTTTTGTTTCATAGAATCATAGAATATCAGGGTTGGAAGGGACCCCTGAAGGTCATCTAGTCCAACCCCCTGCTCGAAGCAGGACCAATTCCCAGTTAAATCATCCCAACCAGGGCTTTGTCAAGCCTGACCTTAAAAACCTCTAAGGAAGGAGATTCTACCACCTCCCTAGGTAACGCATTCCAGTGTTTCACCACCCTCTTAGTGAAAAAGTTTTTCCTAATATCCAACCTAAACCTCCCCCACTGCAACTTGAGACCATTACTCCTCGTTCTGTCATCTGCTACCATTGAGAACAGTCTAGAGCCATCCTCTTTGGAACTCCCTTTCAGGTAGTTGAAAGCAGCTATCAAATCCCCCCTCATTCTTCTCTTCTGCAGGCTAAACAATCCCAGCTCCCTCAGCCTCTCCTCATAACTCATGCGTTCCAGACCCCTAATCATTTTTGTTGCCCTTCGCTGGACTCTCTCCAATTTATCCACATCCTTCTTGTAGTGTGCGGGGCCCAAAACTGGACACAGTACTCCAGATGAGGCCTCACCAATGTCGAATAGAGGGGAACGATCACGTCCCTCGATCTGCTCGCTATGCCCCTACTTATACATCCCAAAATGCCATTGGCCTTCTTGGCAACAAGGGCACACTGCTGACTCATATCCAGCTTCTCATCCACTGTCACCCCTAGGTCCTTTTCCGCAGAACTGCTGCCTAGCCGTTCGGCCCCTAGTCTGTAGCGGTGCATTGGATTCTTCCGTCCTAAGTGCAGGACGCTGCACTTATCCTTATTGAACCTCATCAGATTTCTTTTGGCCCAATCCTCCAATTTGTCTAGGTCCTTCTGTATCCTATCCCTGCCCTCCAGCTTATCTACCACTCCTCCCAGTTTAGTATCATCCGTAAATTTGCTGAGAGTGCAATCTACACCATCCTCCAGATCATTTATGAAGATATTGAACAAAACCGGCCCCAGGACCGACCCCTGGGGCACTCCACTTGACACCGGCTGTTTCTCTCTCTCTCCATCCCCCAGCATCAAGGCAATTTAAAGGGCTAGTACCACCCCATCAGCTACTCTGGCCTACTGCCGCCTCACCCACTCAGCTCCCCATCCTCACGACAGCAGCCTTTCCAGGAAAGTGAAGTGCCCTGGGCTAATGACAAAGAAGAGGGTAAGAGGTGGAAGGGAAAAAATGCCTCCCCCCCACTCAGACCCCAATCCACTCCCCCTGCACCACCCTTCATCAGTCACAGTTTCCATCCCACAGGAAAGTCCACAGTTTTGAAGTTAGTTTTCGTTGTGCTTTGGAACAAGGAGTGGAAAATCATGGAATTCGCTGTGGAACAGAAGAGTTCCTTTCGATAACCTCAAAATGCTTCTTTTCCACTGGAAAATTTCAACTTTTGTATGATAAATAAATTTAAATGAAAACATCTTGACTCCTCCCCCAACCCAAAATGAAATTTTGTCCCATTCAACACGTGCCCATCGAATGTTTTGATTCTGTTGAATCACTGTTTTCCAACCGATCATTTTTGAGCCGATCTCCAAAGCATTTTTACCATTGAAAAAAGGTATTTTTTTTAAAAAAAGAAAGGGTTTTTAATTATTTATTTATTTTTCTATTAAACTTAAAATTGAAAAAAAAAAAAAGTCATTTTCCCTCCCCATTGACAAACTGGAAAAAAGGGAAAGGGGCGTGGGGGGGGGGGAAATGAAAGTTTTTGAAACGGGAAGTTTTCAGCATTCAATCCTTCGTTTTCAAACCCTGCGGCATGAGAGGGACATAGAAATGTTCAAAATGTTTCACAATTTAAAAAAAATAGAAAACCTATTTTACTACCAAGCTCTAAAAGAGAATTCAGGCAAGAACCAGGATAATTAAACTTATACTAGAAAATAAAGGACTAAATTCTCTCTCCTTTTTTTAATTATTTTTTTTATTCCCACCCCAAGAAGAATCGGAAAAGGTTGTACGTTATGCCCTCCATTAGTTATACCACCACCGCCATGTTCAAATCCAAACACCATTCTGAACTGAATTTCTCCAAAACGCAAAAACCATCCGCATGGCGGAAGAAAGCATTTTTCCTCTCTGACGCAGCCGGTATTACAGAAGCCTCTTTCGTTTGTCCTCTAGATTTATTGAATGAGTCTCTCCATCTCTCCCTGGTTTAGTACGAGGTGGAAGACATCGCCTATTAGAATTCTCTAGCCAGCATGTCACTGGCTACATAGGTAAAAATCACCTGCCCTGAAATAGTTAATTGTCTAAATACTTTATTGTTGCTTTATCGCCATCTGCTGGTCAATTGGGGGTGAGATCCAGCTTTACAAACTTTCCCATGTGGTTCTTGGGCTCGGGGAGAAGCTAGATACTGAATTAAGGAAGCAACAGACAGGAAAGGTAGAGTTCAGCCTATCCCTGGCTTGTCCCCACTACCTGCCGATAGTAAATGCAATGATAATAAGCAGCACTCTGTGGCATTTAGATGTTGCTTGTAATTATTAGAATTGGGAGCACTGGCTGTTGGGAGTCTGAAAGGACAGGAAACAGGAAGGAGGGAGGAGGAGTTGAGAGGCAGGGAGAAAGCTACATAGGGTGCAGCAGCAGCTTGGTGTAGGGTGCAGCAGCAGCTTGGTAAAGAGGTTGCCACTTTTGAAAATAGCTTGTTAGTACCTTGCCTGGTTGATACAACGCGCTCCATCCCCATTGTGCGGCTGTTGAACAGAATAAAAATACGAGCCTCGAAACTACACACCCATGAGGAGTCTAGTTTAAAAGAAAAGAGGATAAATATAGGACTGACAATGGTCATTCTAAATACCCCGTCACATCCCGATTGGGCACTCCGATCCACACCGCTGGACCAATGCACCCATTTAGGCTGCCATTTATTTCCCTGCATGGGTCAGCTATGCCCACTGAGCCTTGACGGGAGAGAGACAAGACCAGTTTCAGGGGGAGGGGAGTGAATGCCTGTCTACAGGGCCATCTACAGTAAAAGATCCATCAGCTGTCTGCTTCAGAGGGTACAGTGGCATCCTTCAGTGTGGGTGGCATCTGATTGCAAGTACCCACCAGGAGATGGCTCAAGGAGCAGGTCTTTGCTACAACCAGGATCAACGCCTTTCAAGAGGTAATGGAGTTTAGTCTATTTAGATTGTGAGCTGTCCACGGCATTGAGGTCACGTTCTGCAATATATTGTTGGAAAACTAATGACACACTGGTGGTGAAAGTATTAATACATATATTTCACAATGATATATGTGGTATTATGGATGTTCTCTGAGGTGGTGTTTGAAAGTCTGTATTTGAACGAATTATAAAACAGGTCTTGAACACAAAAGGAGCCTGGTCATCAGGCAGAGACAATGAAGACATGTTTACATGCAAGGTAAACACAGCCATCATGAGATCAAGTGGGGAAAGAGGACCTCTTAACCATCTTCAGGGGGGAATGGAGATGGCACCCCCAGGAAACCTCTGCCTCTTGAAGCCAAGTCAATGAACTTAGAGTGGTGCATTGCAAAGGTTTACTGGATATTAAGGGAACCTCTAAGTTTTCCATCACTTGAGAGGCTAAAGAGGTCAGAGCTCTCGAGATCCCAGAAAGATGCGGTTGAAGTCTCTGGAGGTTGATTTTTGGCGAGAAACCTGCTTAAGCA